GTGGCAGGAAAGGCGGATCCTGGTAGCAGGGGGTGCAGAGGACCTGGACTGGCCAAAGCAGACGGTCCCAGTGCGGGATTTGTCAGCAGAGATGGGCGGGAATCAGGTTTTCCGCAAGTTTGAAAAAAAATTTCCGGCACAGAACAAAAATGAACAGTTTCCACATTTCCCAGGCAATAAAATTCCAGAACAAAGACACCGTTGGGTTGATCAAAATGTTTCCTTCCAGTTTCATTATTTAAAAAGGTTCCTTTCCCCCCTACTACTGTACAAGGACAGAAATCCTGAAACGGAATGTGGCTTCGAAATGAAAAGTCGAGACGTTCCCGTCCGGAACGGGCCAACCTGGAGCGTCTTGGCCGTCTCCATATGCAAATCGAAATTGATGCATTTTGCTGTCAACGAATCAGCCCTTTCCGACAGAGAAACCTTCCCACGGATCCTTTCCGACCAGGCCTAGCCGTTAGCCACAGGGATTTAGAGGCACAGAGATGCTGGATTTGGCTGTGGGGATCTCCCCTCTTAGAGCTTCAGCCCCAAATGCAAGCTGCTCTGATCTGATCCAGGTTTAGTGAACCAGGCAAGGGCCCTACCCCAGGGACAGGGCGGGGTACTGTGGGCAGCTGGCTCCAGCAGGACATTCTCTGCCTCAAGCCATGGCTGGAGCATTTGGGCTGGCTTCACAGCTGGGACCAGTTTGGTGTCTGGGTAGCCAATCAGAGGGCTCATTGGGGTCAAGCTCTCCAGTTGGGCACCGGCACTGGTGAGTGTTCAATCAGTGCCCAGTGTTTGATGAGAGGGATCCACTCCCCTCCCTCCCCCTGGCCCTGACTCACCCAGGCGCACACGCAGCTGGAGGGCGCAAGAGCCGGAGCCCAGCGCATTGGAGGCCGTGCAGCGGTACAGGCCTGAGGTGGCGGCCGTCAGGTTCTGCAGGGTCAGCAGGGCCCGGCGCGCCTCTGCCCCGCCAGCCGGAGAGCGAGGGGACAAACGAGAGGGAGCGGGTTACACTGGAGCCACCCCCAGGCCAGCTGGGGAGCCGGGGCTAGAACCCAGCTCCCTGGGGGCCAAGTACAGGGGCCTCTGCCACATGGGCTAAAGGGGGCGGCTG